AAGAACTTGCGGGGGAGGGGCTTCAAATTCGTTTCACGCCACCGCGTGCATTGTTCAATAGCTGTTCAATTGGGTTAACAAACAAGAAGCACACAAAGTTTAACTTTGGAAATAAAATTACTTTCACTGAGATGTTCTCTTATCGAGGGATGAGCTTTAAGTGGCGTTCTTTTATTTCGCACTCCTTTTTCCAAAAAAATGGCTTCATTTCAAGAAAAAAGATTAATAACAACAGCTTTAAATTTTATAACTTTTGAAAATAAGCTTGAAATATTAATTTGTTGTATGCTAGAATATTTTAATTAAATGTTTATAAAATAGTAGAAACATTGATTATGACATTTGATTTTAATATTGATTTAATAGAAGTACGAAGTTTTCATTATTTAAAAACAATAAATATATATAGCTTTCAAACAGATGAATTTTGGGCATACTTGAAATGTTTCTTATATTAAATATTACCAAATTACAAAATTAAATATGACCAAACTACCCTAAATTGATTCAAATCGTACAAACGATAAATATGACTTTTGATTTTAATTTTGATTTTATAAAAATATGACATTTTTATTATCTTTTGATTTATACTCTTATTATAATTGGGGTAATAAATATTATAAATATTCATTCATAACCAATGGGCAGATTATTTTTGAAATTCTCGACTTAAGTCTCAATCGATTTGAAATTTATGAGGATAAAGTTAATCGCCTCTTTTCGCCAAGCTAACCCACTTTAAAATTACTTTCTAGCCGACCTAAGCATTTTGGACGGCAAATGTGTCCCCTTTTTTTTCCAAAGTTTTTCACCCCTAATCAATGGAGAAGTGAAAGTTTTCCGAAATATGCTGTAAAAACTTTGGGGAAACTTCAACGCCATTCAGTTAATGGGTTAAGCAGTGCTTTTCACACAGCTTAAATGCCGCCAAGGATGCATGAAAATTTATGCAAAGTGGGGAGCAAAAATTACAATGGCCGATGCTGCTAATGATTGTTGTAATCGGTTTTTGCATGTGGTCCACCGCACTCCGCCATTCGATGTCGATGTCGATGTCGTTGTCGTTGTCGTGTTGTTTAGGAAGCGACAGCAGCTGCCAATCCAGCAGTTCGTCCTGCAGGTCCTGTTCCTGCTTTTGCCACTGGGATGTCCGTCTCATCATTTGCATGGCCATCGATTACCACCGCACCGCACGGGGCACCACATGCCGATGGGAAAAACACGGGCAACTGGCGTGCCAAATATGCGAATTATTTTCAGCGCTGCAGGAAACAGGACGATGTGTCCTGGGGATTTGTGAAGTTGGGGAGTCGAGGATCGGGCAGATAGTGGGCTATATATCCCCACATACTATACTATATATGTGTGTGTTGCTGTCGCAGCGGCCATGAATGAATGAAAAGTGCTTAATTGCTTGTGACGGCGTTAAATAAATTCTTAATTGCTTCGCACTTTGCGCGTTTGCAACGTTAATAGGATTTCCGTCGCCTGCATGTCGTCAGGATATGCACATCGCCTGCTGCAGCTCCTGTTCCTCCTGCCACTGCCACTGCCACTGCCACTCCTCCTGACCGAAAAACTTCTTTTTCTTTTGCTTTTTATTGCCGTTAATTTCCGCGGAATTTCGTCGTTTTCGTTTTTCGCGTTTCGTTTGCCTTTGCCGCCCTTGCGAACTCGCGTTTTGGCCAGCCGCCGTACAAATCCTTTTAGCCAAGTGTCATCCAGGCCAGAGCAGCCGGCGGCACATCATTTGCAAGGCAAAGCGCTAAATTTCATTTTGCATACGCGTGCGACACGCGTGTCCCTCCACACGTTCCTGTTACATCGTTACTGCACTTTGAAAAAAATAATTGTTTCCAATATTTAAGTGTAACTTAGAGCAAAAATTTAAAAGATTATTGTATTCAATTTTCAAGGAAGCAGATGCTAGACCATTATCTAAAAATTTATTAATTTTAATAGGCTAATTTTAATCATTAAAATTCAAAACTTAGTTTTATGACAAGCAATCATTTTTGGTTTTTCCCAATTCAAAGGTTTTTGAAATATATATTTTGAAAGTTCTTTTTCCCTTTTACATTGTCTATCATTTCTACCTTATTTGAGATATATTTTTTTAGAAATTTGATTATTGGCAGAATTGAGTAGGGAATATTTATTAAAAACTACTACCCTATTTTCCCGGTACACTTGTCTATGTATGCAAGGCTCAGTCTGTGTGGCAGTTGACGTTAAAAAAAAAATTAAAAATGCATTTGTGACATGCTCGCAAAAAGAAATGCAGCACACGTTGCAAAAACTAATGACTTAATAGCTCGCTCGCTTGTGGCAAGGACACTAAAGCTAAATGTGGGTGAAGTGCACTCGGTAAATGCAAATGGCGAAGTTGGAGCTGCTCACTGACCGATTATGGCCAATTCGATTGGCGGTCCGTCGATAAGTTTACCGCTTAAATAACGATTACGCAACGCTGGGCAAACAATTACATGGAAAAGCGAAAAGAAAGCGAAAATAAATTGTAATAAATTCAAGAAAAGGCGCACCGCAAACCCCAAAAACCGAGTTGAAAGACTTTTTTTTGTTGTTGGGAAGAAGTATTTTAATTTTACTTCATGACAACACTTGGGGACTTGGGATCCTTTTGCCGACTTCTGGTGCCAAAGTGGATCAGAGAAAGGGGGTTTGGGTGGAATGTCTCGTAATGAAATTTACATAATTTAGAAAGACATTTGAGCAACTTTCTTTTGCCGCTGTACGCGTATAAACAAGACATTTCCGCCACTTTAATTTTCAAAAGCTTACACTTGAGATTTTATTGGCCAATTCATTGTTGGCAGTGGCGAGAAAGTGGGCGGGGTTGGCAAAAGAAGCCAAAAGTGCAGGAGAAAAACTTGCAAATTGCGAGAAATAAAAGGGAATCGCTAAGAAGAAAGTGCAGGAAAAGATGGAGTTTAAAGTTAGCAGCTAAGAAATTGAGATGCCCTTTTGAAACTTTAAATTCAACTTTAGAAAAGCACTTGTAAAATTTCTAAAGGAGGAGATTAATGTTGTTCCTTGTTTAAAGTTAAGTATTATTTAATCAAGTTCTTTTAAACGTCTACTTTAATTAAACTAAAACTAATTGTTAATTGTTAGCCGGCTCGAGGTCAGGATGTTGAACAAAATAACATAATTTATTTAATTTTGATTATTTGTCAATATATTTCGGATGCTCTTCGGCAACCGTCTTCAGGACAAATTTAATTTACACGTCTGCGTCCAGTGAAACATGCAATAATAGTATATCCAAATTCTAATTATTCAAAGTTTTAGGAAATTTCCTTATGTTGGATTTGCTGACGAGCCAATCTTTAACATAGATAACTTATACCTCTTTAAAAGTTAAATGGAAAGTTGAAAAACTTTGGCCACATCTGTCCGCTCGAATCGCCGTCAGCTTTTTATTTTATAGAGGGTGTCGCTTCGATTTTCAGCTCGGCAAGTTAAAAAACGAAATGCGTCGCATTCGATTGAGCGGGTCACAATTTATTTGCATAAAGTGAGTGACGGACTGGGTAAATATATATGGAATCCAGAATCCAGGACGCAGGACGTGTTCCCCGATGATGTTTTATGTTTGTCTAAGTGGGGCAATATCGATGGGGGAGGCACAACTGCAGCTGGCGCAGCTTAAGCCAAAGTGGCCAAGTTATTGAATACTTACGACAAGTCATAACATAAAGTAATCCCCAGCTGACTTTCCCATTTCTTACCCCCATTTTTTCCATTTTTTTTTTTTTGCATACACAGCGACCTGCTGAAAAAGCTGTCTGTTAAGGCCGGCCTTATTGGCTGCTTCCGTGGCCTGGTGGTCAACGGCGAGATTCTCGACATCTACAGCTACATGTCGGTGCATCTGTCGGAGATTATCAAGGACTGTAAGCCATCCTGTGTGCCATCGCCCTGTCGCAACGGCGCCCAGTGCAAGGAGCTCTGGAGCAGCTTCAAGTGCGTCTGCAACAATCCCTGGGCACACATCGGCGAGTTCTGCGAGACAAGTGAGTGCGAGACGGAAAATATATGCTCGAACATAAAGAGATATGTCAATATTGCTACTACAATTAAGAAGTTCCATTCAGGAACAATATAACGATAATTTCAAATAAGATAAACTTCTCATTTTTTTATGCTAATGTTTCTATCCTAAATATAATTGTGGTTATTTACTCATGTAGAAGGATTTTTAAAATATAGTTTCTACCAAAAAATTCAGATATAAAAGTTAAATTAATTACATTTTAAAAAGTTTTTAAATTTACTCTACTTAAAACTTCTATAGAAATAATAATATAATAATAATAATATTGTATTGGTATTCTTTTCAAGTTCTTTAATATCACTAAATCTTATCAATTGCTTCATTTTTCTTCGTAGACATAAACGAAAAGGCTTTAACTTTTATCAACCGAGAGTCCTTCCTGATGCGAAATTATTTGAGTGTGGGTGCTACGCCAGCTATACTTATGCATGGCATGGATGGCGAGCGAGATGTCCTGAAAGGCATACTTAACCAGGATCTACTGATCAATCTGCGAACCTACGATACGAATGCTCTCGTACTTTATGCCAACGATCACTACAATAACTTTGTGCACCTGTACATCAGTATTAACAGGGAGATTGTGTTCCTGTACAATTATGGTGATGAAATTGTGAATCTCACTCTGCTGGATGATACGTTGATGGCCTCTTTGAAAAGCATTCAAGTGGCCATTGTTCGAGGGGAACAGGAAACTCGAATGCATGTTAATCAGCGTAGTGTGAGCATCGATAGGGGAACCCTACTCCTAGATGAATATGCCAATAAACCGTGGAGTAATCCGGAGAAAGGTAAGTTTAATTTAATTGGCCTGATTTAAAACAAGAAAAAACCATAAACATATTATATTTTCAACTAGGTAAGCATTTGAATAAATTGAAAATTTTAAAATCAAATTAAACTAAGGGCCAAACACACATTTTTCCCAATTTTATTTAATGTTTTAATTTATTTCTATGAGAAACAATTATACAGTGTATGTTTACATTGATATTTTAATAGCAAGTCTTTTTTTTAGTTTGGTATGACGTTATGTACTTTCACAAATATTTATAGGCATTATTTAGAGCAGACTATTATTACTTTTGAAGACCCAATGAATACCTTCCCCTAACCTACTTTCGTCACTTCCAGCGGCTGCCCATTTTAGAGGTTTTACTGTGAGCATTACTGCTGCTATTTTGGTGCTGCTCATCTTGAGCGGCCAACTCCTCATCGATGAGTAGCTCAAAGTTACCCAAAGCATCTGCACTGGGCACTTTATTCCACCGCACATCGGGCACTCCATCGGGGGGCAAAACCACCGACAATATATTGTCAATCAGCTTGTATTTCAGTATTCTATCATTTACAGTCGTTGAAGTTAGCGAAGGTGAGGCATTGACTTCCACTAGCCAAGGTTTCAAAGCATTATCTATTATGATGTCGTAGCCATAGCACTCGAAACAATGTCTATCACTGGCCATCACAGGAGCCACGGCTCTTAAGGAGTGCACTATAAGCCAGGAAATGGCTCCAAACAAACGATCCGTTACCTCTTTTCCCCGCGTTCCCTCCAGATATAAAGCCAGATTTTGCACTGACCACTTGCCACCGTGTAGGGTATTATATTCACCACCATGTTTTTGCACACTCACATTGGTCAAATGTACGTACATATTGTCCAGTTCCGTAACACTTGTATCATATTTTACAGTGCAAAATCGGCAGAAACCCTGCTTAAATAGGTAAGCTTTCAGGGGTCTAAAAGAAGCCACTAGAACATATAGACGGAGATCAAATTTTTTACCACCAATCAACAGGGGATTGTCTATATATCTTGATATGACATACGACTCCTTGGCTATTTGTGGATGAAAGGGACCCTTGGCCTCCCTCGACCACTTCTTCAGCTTAGATAACTTGTTGATTAGGAATATACCCGCTCCTTGGGATTTTCCACAGGGTTTCATGATCCACGTGCTCAACGGAAACTTTCGATATTCCTCAACGAACATGTTATAATCCGCTGGCAGTACAAATGTCGTGGGCACAAAATCCAGATACAAATACCTAGTGCCACTGGAATTATTTGATTCCGTTTTCTCCGCCAAGGGATTACCATCCCTTTCGAGGTCCTTGCGATAACGTTTAATGTTTTTCACCAACAAATCCTTGCGCGATAGTTCATAGTGATTGGGAAAGTGATTGATCATCTGGTTGTCATGCATCCGATAACCACTATCCACACTAAAGATATTGCGACAGGTTTGCACGCCGGCCCAATAGAAATGCCAATCATCGTCACCGTTCACCTGATGCCAGCCGCGTTTTTCGAAATTGTTGACCAAAACCGATTTGTCCAGATCCGTGCAGAAGCCAATTTTTAGTTTATCATGTCCGAGGGCACCGCCACCACCGCCACTATTTGCAGCACCATTTGAGGCACCATTAAGCGCCGATTGATTGGCACCGCCCGCTTGACGACCGTACATGTTGGTACGGGTACCGCTCGTTATGAGTGTACCGCTCGAGCGGACCGTCGGCTGCAGACTGTCGGTCCGGGTCCATTGGCTCATGTCCCACACAACGGCCATTTTGGCCGTTGGGTTGCCAACGCTCCAAGTTATTGAACCAACAAAGCCGAAATTTATTCACAACCCTTTTTTGGGGGGGTATTTTTTTCGGGGGGTGGTCGGTGATGGTTGCCAAGCGGCTGCGTTTCCTTTTGTTTTTTCTTTTACTATTTTTTGTTTTTTTAAATGGGTGTAGAGGCAGAAGCGTTGCACCAAAATTTTCAAATAGTTTAGCAAGTTAAGCTGCAAAAATGCCAAAAATTTCCACTCTCACAAAATCTGTGCGCACTGTGTGATGGCCAAATTATGTGCACTTGAATTTTTTCTCTGCAGTTTTATTCTATTTTTTTCTCTATTTCCCAGCTAACAGTGTGTGTGTTTGAGAGTGGACGTTCAACTCGGTAGAAAATTGTTGGAAAATAAACGCCATGCGAATGGATAAAGTTTTGGCTCGATGGCATAAAAACAACGAGTTGCTTTGTAGTTTGTTGATATTTGAAAACGTTCAAAGTTTTTATTTCGCTTTGCTCACTCAATATGTAAATTGAACGGCATTTCAATGGAAGATAGTACTCGGAAATTGTTGTTAAACGAGGGAAATGCATATAGAGTTGATTATGATCTGAACGGATTTTTTATAAAGCTGTCTACAAATGGTAATATTTAAATAAATATAAATAGGGGTATTTGTAAGCTAGCTTTTATTAAACAAATTTAAAAAGTTAGGGCTTTGTTACCTATTTATTACATTTTGTAAAAGCTTAGATAACATATTTTTTGTACGAGATTTATTTTGACAAGTAATCATGTAGTAGTTAGTTAGTTTAATTTAACTAAAAGCTTATGTTGTTATTTACAGTTTGCAAGGCTTTCATTTAGAACAACACTATTGTGTTGATTTTCTACTCACCAACAGTATATTGCATAAATGTAAGCAGAGCAAACTAAATCGATCATAAACATCATAAGCATAAGTAGACAATTTTCAAATGCCTTTCCACTCAACCGCTTTTCAATTACACCAGTTGTATGCGATTTGACAACAGTATTTCCCTGGGACTACTGCACTTCCAAATCCACTCCCAGTTCACCTTGCAACTGAATTTAATGGAAAAGTTCAGTCCATGGAGCTCAACTTGGCAATTGGCAAAAAGGGGTAAAATCAATCAAATTGTCCGTAACTCAATGCCAGCGATTTGCCCCGTAAAATCAATCATAATTACTCCACGCTGCCCCGGAATATGATTGAAGGATTGCGCTTGAAAATGCATTTTGGGGGCAAATGAGAATGCGATTTCGTCAATACTTTGCACAGAATAACACATAAGCACTTTTGTAATTAAATGCGTTAACCAGTCGGACAGGACTGCAGCAAAGCCCAGATTGTGGCAATCCAATCGCTCCATTCAGTTAAGTTTGGCGCGTTCTGCTGGCTGGCAAACATTTCAATTAGACAAACTTAAACTCGAAATTGATGGGCCTAAACCTCAAAAGGCCGGCTCTGGATCCGGTTTTGGGACTGGGTCTGGTTCAGGGTATGTGTCTGTGTCCGGCAGGCCGACTAAAACCCGAAATGCCACGGCAATGAAGGCTCATTTCCGCACACACCCACAAACACACACACGCGCTAACATAAAGCAAACTGCACCAATACGTACACCATCAAAAACATTGGGTATTCTGAAAGCTTTCTTGGACATTATACTGTTTAAATTATAACAGCATTTTGTAACAATATTTTTCTAAGTATATATAATTTACAAATTTGTATTTTTAAAGCCAATAATATTTAAATATTAACATTTAAATATTAATAGGTTACCTTAACTGAAATAACATAATTTACAAAAAAAAGTACTAAATACCATAATATTTATTCCGTATAATAAATCGAGAAAATATTTACTATTGGTACTTGTTTATGTATTTTCTTAATTATTTCCCAGCATGATAAAATTTGTAATTTGTAAGTTATTGCTAGTCACTTCATTTTGGAATTTATATCATAAGTAAGAGTGTAGAAAATAAACGAAAAGGTAGTTATTATTAGTTGGATGTCTTAATAATTTATTAAAATTAAAACATATTCCAAATTATTCAAATTAAAATTTACTTTTAAACTAAAATTGAAACCATTTTAGCCTCTGTTTTAGTGTACAGCATATCCAGAACCATCCATACTTTGCCCACAACCCACCCACACTCATTTGATTTTGTTTATTTGCAGAGGTTCTGTCGCCGCACCGCCCCCCAGCCCCGCCTACCGAGTACTTCCAGTTCCACGTGGGCGGCTATGATCCGGCGAATTTGCTGCGGCCCAATGTGGATGCACCCACCCTCGAAGGTTATATCGGCTGTGTGCGGGGCCTGAAAATCGGAACGCAGTTGATCGACTTGGCGGAAATCAATGAAAGGAATATAGCGCCCAGTAAGTAGGCAGTATAAATCAATTTTCACTGAGTGCAATTTTCGGTCGGCCCTAATGCCATTTGGTAGTGTGGCTCCTCTGGATTTCGATACTCCTGCTCCTTCTCCTGCTCGTATGATTCTAATTCATGGGCCACTAAATCGACTTCTCCTCAGTGCGGTTGCATCTGTGGTTGGCTGCCTGGCTAACTTAATATGCATGCAATTTCCGTTAAGTGCTGGGGACTCCAGCGAAAATCAAGAGAGAGATGGCCAAACGGGCCACTTTGAGGCCGCGCCAAGATTAATGCCATTGCGATAAGCTGCCGGCCCACATGGCGTATGATTTATGCGGCCACGTATCGCGGAAATTGCAACCTGACTTTGATGCGATTAAACGCAACCGCAGTCAATGTAAACACTTTGAGTTAGAATGGCATTCCTTTCAATATAGGCTCGTTGATTGGCAATTCAAAGCATTTGCCTTGAAAGTGCAATAAGTGTACTTCTCTTGGGCAACCTCGAGATGGCCAACTATCGATGCTAAAAGTTTTGCAAATTAAAATTGATTTTCAATAAGATAATGCCATTATTATTTCATATATCTTGACACAAAAACCCTAACAATCATTTTTATTATAAATCCAATTTACTGATTTGAAGAGAATTCTAACGAATCCATAGACATTATAAAAATTGTTATTAATGAACTTAAGTAAATAAAACATTGTTCAAAAAGAAACTTTTAAATTGATCTTACCTTATTTTTAAATGCCTATAATATAATGTTTCTCAATGTCTGCTTAAAATGTGCTCAAGCTGAAAATTATGATTTATAATAATAATTTAAAATTCTTTAATTTTATTTAATGGCTTACATAGTTATACTCCTTAACTGGGCAATAAACTACATTTAATTGCAATTTTTTAAAGATTTAAAAAAATTTATGAAATGAAAAACCATTTGAAAAATTGTGAGTAAATGCTTTTTTGGTGATTAAATTTTTCTAAGAAATAAATTCCCATTCAAAATCTCATTTAATTTTATTTATTATTATTATTCATTTTTCCTTATAAAATTCTTTGATTTAATTCTTTTTAATTTCAGCTCAGGAAGGAGTCCTGCCCAATTGCCAAATCAAGTGCGATGCAGAGCCTTGCAAGAATGGAGGAACCTGCAAGGAGCACTTTGCCGAACAACTCTCGACTTGCGACTGCGAACACACCAGTTTCCTGGGTGAATTTTGCTCCGAAGAAAAGGGAGCTGACTTTAGTGGTGAATCGACGCTGCAGCGAAAATTCGAACTACTGCCCGGTACAGGTCGCGTTGACTATGTGCGCCTGCAGCTGGCCTTCTCGTCCTTCGACCTGCGACGGGCCAATCGCATAATGCTGCTGATGCAGACGGAGGCGGAGCGGAGCTACTACCTCCTGCTGGCCATCACCTCCGATGGCTACCTGCAGCTGGAGGAGGATCGCGACAATGGACTCACGGTGGGCGCCCGGATCGATCGGAATTTCCTGAACAGTGCCAGGCACTCGGTGTACTATGTGCGCAATGGCACCCAATCGCAGCTCTTCATCGATCGCGAGCAGGTGCCCCTCACCGAGTTTGCCGCCCGTGTCCTCACAACTGGCGGCGATGCGGGCTCCAATCGCGTCCAGATCGGCGGCATCAACAGCACGGACTCGCGGTTCGCCGTCTTCAAGAGCTACAGCGGCTGCCTGTCGAGTGAGTGTCGTAAATTTTATCTCCGTCCGCCATTAATTTCTTTTCGGTTTCATCAAGAGACATGCCCCTGCACTCCCCTCCCTTTGCTCACCAAAAAAAAATGTTACCAAGGGCAGTTATAATATCCAAAATAAAGTACACGAGAAAATATTTAGATGTTGGAGAAAGAATGATTTTAGGAAAGGAATTTTTAAGAACCCTCCAAATGAAAACAATATTTATGGAAAAACTGTCCAAATTTTTTGAAATGAAAAGTGTATTATTCAATATTATTTAGTATTGCTATAAAACAAACTAGGGCAGTAATAATTTCAAAAATAATACACAAGAAAATATTCAGATGTTTTTAAGGACCTTCTTATTTTGTATAATATAGTGTCTCCTTAATGAAAGTAAGAAAAAAAAAATATTCAGATGTTTTTAAGGATCTTCTTGTTTTGTATAATATAGTTTCACCTTTATAAAAGTAAGAAAGACTATTTAAGACTTAGATTTCCTCTCAGTGTGTCCTCTGCTTAACTGCTCCAACTTTATGAACTCACGGAGATGAACGCTTAAAATTCCGCGGGGGAGGGGGGAGATAGTGCTCGCCGGTGGGCTAGAGTAAAACTGCTTCACATTGTTGACCAAAAAATTAAATTTATTCACTGCCATAAAAAGTCATTTCCGTGGCAGTGGCGTCGTTGCCATAAATTGTGTCACTTTTTGCTCTCAAGATTTACAGTGGCTCATATTTAAATTGCTGCTTTGCTGCCACTCCAAACCGCAACACAGTGTCACAACACTTTGATTAAAAATTCACCCAGTCTCTTACCAAAATCTCCACTCTCCTCAACCGCCCATAAAACAGCTGTTCAGCCGGCCACGCCCACACCACATGTGGGCGGGCTATAAAACATCCTTGATTATTTCATTAAAGAACTATCGAACTGTAGTGCGATACTTTTGGTCTGAAATATTATAAATAATATAAATGTTGTACACAGTATGGTAAAGTGACTGAAAATTCTGGAAATTATGTTGAGTTTAATTGTGTGAATTATTTTTGGGAAAAAACACTTATTTTCAGGGAAAGTAATCAAAGTAAGCAGTATTCAAAAATATGATATTTATTTTGATACAAGCAATGATTACTTTTAAGCTTTTTTATATTTTAACGTTTCTCTTTGACCACTAATTTCTAAAACTGTAGTAAGAATATTTTATATTCAAAGTCCTCTATCAAATAGGCATACACAAGAGCTAAGTCGCGACCTTAATTATCATTTAAACACACTAGAAACTCCATTAATTTGCCAATTTGGTAGAGCA